TTCACTCATTCAGCACTCCGCCCATCCCTGGGGGCCCCAGGTGGCTCCTCTGGGTGGCACTGGCCCCTTGCCAGGAAGGAGCAGTGCTGTCTGGGTGAGGGGAGAATAATCAGCTGTAAACGTCGCAATCCGGGAGAACAGGCTGCTCAGGCCCCTGGTGCCCACGCGTGCGCCTAATCGGCTCCACGTGCCTGAGCCTCCTTTCAAGAGCGGGAAAGTGGAAGGGTCAAGATCTCTTAATGTTCGTAATGCAGGGGAGGCAGAAGCCACCGCCGGCCCCACATAAACACCTTTTAATTGCGCCGAGGAGGGTGGGCGGAGGCAGCCCACGCTACAGAATCCCCTGCCCTGTCTGTCCTCCATGACGGTGCCTCCTAGAGCTTCCCCAGTCTGCAGTCGGATCCCAGCGGCTGACCTCCAGCCAGAAAGCAGAGCCACGGTCCTTGCACTTGTTCTATGAATGTTCCCGAGGCTCCCACTCTGGGCCAGGCCTCCTCCAGGCCTTCTCCCTTTAGGGCTGATCTGCTCATCTGACCCCCAGCGATCGGTGCATGTGTGGATCTAGGTCTGAACCGGCCTCTAGCTGTCTCAGCGCAGAATGCCCCCCCACCCCCAAATCCTTGCTGCCTCCTCCAGGCAGCCCCAAGCTCACTTTTACCCTCTTAAGCTGAAGGGATCTTCCTCCTGCTGGGGCTACCCGATTCCATCTGCACCTCTCTGAGGTCCCCATGTCCCTTGCTTCTGGGCCTTCTATTCTCCATGGGCTACATCTCTCCCATTAGACCAGTGGCTCTCAACCGGGGTTGTGGTAGGGCTTTGCCCCCAGGGGACATTTGGCATGATTTGGAGACATTTTTGGTTGTTACAGCTCAGGGAGTGGTGTTCTCCCGGCATCTAGTGGGTAGAGGGCAAGGATGCTGCTCAGCATCCTACAACGCACACAGCAGCCCCCACAGTAAAGAATTATCCTGCTCAAAATGTCAGTGGTGCCGACACTGAGGAACCCTCCCTTCGATGAAAGAAAGAAGCAAATGAGTGGGAGCTAGGTGCAACGCGCTCCCTCCTGACAGGGGGGTGGTCCGCCCCACAGCTCAGGGGGACTCCTCAGCCCCCTCCCTGGCTCATTCCTCCTGTTCCTCTGAGCACCCAGCCCCGAGCCCAGTTCCTGAACAGATCTGGCCACACTCCCAACAATGCACCAGTTTAATTGGGTTAAGTGGCCATTAGCAGCGAAAGCAGGGCGGCTGTGTGCAGAAGGGTTTTTAATTTTACTCTTTAAATGATGCTCGCTCTCCAGAGAGGCGATGGAGGGTGGGAATGCTGCCCACTGGAGCCCCCACCCCAGATCCAAGGCTGCAGCTGCACCGCCCCCTGTCCCATCCATCTGGGAGCAGGCGTCTAGCCACGTGCATGTCCCTCAGTGCTCTGGCCTTGGGCTTCCCATTCTCTGGGAACCAAGACAACTAAGCCACAGTGGCCACGGCCTCACTCCTGAGAGGAGGCTGGAACCCCCTGCACTGGGGTCACGCCTCACCTCATCAAGGCTGTGTCTCCTCCTGCGGCCTCTCCCCTAAGCCACACAGCAGAGGTGCCCAGGGATGGTGGCACAGGCTTTGGGGACACTGGTTTTTCTTTGTGGCCTTTATAAACGATGGCTCCTGGAGCTGTGAGACCAAAAGTGCTGGGCAGGGATGGTTTCATGTCCCTATTTTACAGAGGAGGATACTAAGGCCTGGGATGGGACTAGACCAAGTGCTCTATGAGGGCAGGCACAGGGCCTGTTCTCTCCCTGTCCCTCCAGCACCGCCGGGCATGCAGCAGGCCATTTGACAGCTGGATGACTCGTGGAGGAAGAAGGACAACCAGGAAGAAAGGACCTTTCCGAGGGAGGGGCTGTGGGTCAAGGGCCCAGCAGGGAGCACAGCAGAGTCCTGATTTGGGTCCCTCTCTGCCTCCACTGTGCTGTAAGAACTCAGGCACCTCCCCTCCCCCACTCTTGGGACTCAGGACCCTTAGAAAGTGGGCCCTGGCTCAGAGAACCCCTCTCCCTGGGCAGTATAAGTCACAAGACAGCTCCCCTCTGTGTGTCCAAAGCTGAGGCCCAGCAGGTTTCCTGGACTTGGGAATGCTGGCTGCTTGTGCTGCAAGGCCCCTGACCTGGCCTACTGCTGCCTGACTCTTGGCCCCATAAATCACCTTGAGCGGCTCGGAGAAACTCGAAACAAACATCTGATTGTCCCTGATTAAATGAGACCATGAACTTCCGTCCTGCGTTGCTCAGATCCCTCTTTGCAAGCCCCAAATTAAAATTCCAGACCAGAGCAAGAGGATTTAAATTGGATTACTGGATGGGGTCCAGGGAGAGAGGAACAATGGAGTGGGGGGTGAGGGGTCCAGCCCCCCACATCCCGCCCTCCATAGGCACTCAGGCTGCAAACAAATGTGGGAAAGGAGAGAAGGGCCAGAACTTGATTAAAAGCAAATTTAAAACATAATTAAGACCAAAGCTCATCCTGAACAGTTAGGACCAAGGCAGGGGGAAGGATGGTTGTCCTCTGCTTCCTCTGGGGATATGGACAGAAGCATCCTGTGGGCTGAGAGCCAGAGGCGCTGCAGCAGGGGGAAGCTTGTGGGCCAGCAGGGCGCTGGGAAGGCAAGGGCTGTGGGCTCTGCGCCTACCTCGGGAATCACGTGGGGAGTCAAGGGCCTGGCCTCGCATCAGAGTGACCTGGGTTCACATCCTGGCCTGAGGCACGTCCGAGTCTCAGTGTCCCTACCCTCTGTGGAGTGGGCCTCCCTCACACGGCTGCTGTGGGAGTGGCCTTTGACAGACACGCACGTGGTGAGTGCCCAATCAGCGAGTGCTCTTTCCATCATTCTTCTGTTGAGAGTAATTTGTATTTGGCGCCAACGGTGGACCAGGCCATGGGCTAGGCTGCAGATGTGGGGGGAAGGAGAAAGCCATCTGCCCTGCCTCATGGGGCGGGGTATAGCATGGGGGGTGCAGGTAGAGGGTTGGGATCAGAACCCAGGCCTTGGGCTCTCCCCTCCCTGCCAAGCTGTCAAGGTGGATTAGTTGTCTAGGAGGGGGGGTAGAGGAGCTTGGGGAGGGACCCCAGCACTGTAGTGCCCAGAGAGGATGGGCAGGGGGCTCCACGTGTGGAGGGCAGGTCAGGCATCTGTCATTGCCACCACTCAGCACCCCTCATTGAGATGACTGGTCCTAAAGCTGGGGTGGGCAGCAGACCTGAAGGCCCAAAGGATGCCTCTTCCCAAATTTATCAGAAGGTTTCAACTCACGTTCAGGGCTGGAGGCCTGCACTTTGTAAAGTGGAGCAAAGCAAGGAAGTAGTGGGCGAATGAGGATCTGGAATGAATGGGACAGATAGAGACGAAGAGAGAAAGGAAGGGGGGGAGAGCACCCAGGTCAGGCCCAGTCCTAGGAAAAGCAAGGAGGGGACATGATGTGCTGGGTGGATGGGGCAGCAGAGTGTTTCTCACCATCACGGGAGACACTCTTGGACCCCCCAGGGACTGCTGTCCCAGCTAAAGGCTGGGCTTTGCCTCCTTCCCATGGCAGGTCCTTTCTCTAATTGTCTGCCCACCTGTGACCAGGAGATCCTGAAAGTCAGGCTGGGCTGGACTGAGCCCAGCTCTGGGTCGTCTGGATCCACACTGGGTGGGAAGCCCTCAGGGTCCACGCCTCTGGGCCTCTGGTCCCAGGAGGCCAGTCTCTCCCTAGTCTATGATTCCAGGTCACACAGGATGAGAAGGGGACCCCAGGGGGACAGCAGGGCCCAGCTCCTGGGGAAGGGGGTCCTAGTTCTCTCCTGGGGCCTAGAAGTGGTGGGTGTTTAGGCTAGGTGACTGCCTTGATCTGACCCAGCCAGGCCCCTGGCCTGAGCCCGGGTACGGCTTGTGTGGACTTGCTCATCCTTTTTTGTAACTAGTTTCACTGAGACACAATTCACATACTATAGAATTTACCCACATAAAGTATATAATTCAGTGTTGTGGGTTTTTTTAGCACATTCGAGTTGTGCAACCATCACCACAATCTAATTTTAGAATATTTTCATCACACCAAAAGGAACCCTGTACCCATTAGCAGACACTCCTTATCCCCCTCCCTTCCCCCCTCCCTTTCAGCCCTAGGCAACCACTAATGTACTTCCCATTTCTATGGATTTGCCTATTCTGGACATTTCACAGAAATGGCATCACACAATAGGTTGTCTTTTGTGGCTAGCTTCTTTCACTTAGTAGAATGTTTTCAAGTTCATCCATGTCATGCGTATCACTACTTCTTTCCTTTTGACCGGACTCCTCTTTTTGGCACAGGCTGGGGCTGGGGCCGAGGCAGCCGTGCCTCTGAACCAGGGGCAGCTTGGGCACTGTCCCTCATTTACTGCACAACCCCCCAGGGCACCTTGCAGCTCCAGAAGCCCCACCCCCACGCCCCGCACCTGCACTCCCTGGGGTGGGGTCTGCTGGCTTCGTACAACTGGTCAGGGCAGCCTAGCAGGGTCTGCCAACCCACAGAATGGCAGCACCCTGGAGCTGATAGGCAAAACCTCTCCAAGATTAGAGGGGGAGACTAGACTCAGAGGGAGGCAGAGAGACATTCAAGGTCATGGGCAGAGCAGGGGCTTCGACCCCTAGCATCACAGGGCTCCAGCATGCTCCGTGGGGCATTCAGGGCCACTCCACACCCCCTCCCACCAGAGCTGCAGTCCACCCTCTGTAAAGAGGAATCAGAGGACTCCAAGACTGCCCGTGCCCCACCTTCATGCCCACGTAAGGCCCCCAAGACCCCAGATGGAGCCTCCCCCTGATAAAACCATCTGCTCCTGTCCTAGCTGCCCACATCCAGGTGGGCACTGCTCTGCCAGCGATGGCCTGGCCTGCATTCATGTGCGTTCACGCCGGGCCGGGACGCTGCCCGGGCGGTGCAGGGCCCCTCCGCCTGGCCTGCCCTCAACCCGCACAACTGCACCTACCTTCAGGGCCTGCACCTTCCTGTCCAGCAGGCTCTCAATGTCTCCTGCCACCTTTTCCACCAACTTCTGAGGCTCGTTCTCCTGCACCTCAAACAGATTCCGGTTGTCCTTGTAGATCTAGAAGGAAGCAGAAGCCAGCGGTGAGGCTGAGGTGGTCCCACATTCCCATGCCACAGCCCCCCCCTTGCATATCCTCTCTGCCCAGAACGGTCCAGCCCGTGGCCCCGCCCCAACTCTGGCTCTGGCCAACTACGAGAGCATGGATGTCCGCGGGCTGGGCCCAGTGCCCTCCTGAACTTGAAGGAAGGCTCCTGTCACAGATTCCACAGCTTGCCCTGGCTGTGGTTGGTGGGACGGGCTTGCCACCGCCGTCTCTGGACTCGGGGGTGATTCCTCCTTCAGGAGCCGTGAGCAACACCCCCCTGACGAGTTCGCAGCGGCTGAGAGCAGCAGACGCGGAAGGGGGGGCTGGAGAGGAGGCAGGGTGTGCGTGTGGGGGCAGATGGAACCGATAAGCACACACTGCATACCACAAGCCTGATGACACGAAGACACGGTCACGCTCACGACACACAGCGACACACCCACACGTGCATCAGAAACACCTAGCCACTGCTCCTCACGGACTCAGGCATCCATACCCCTTTGGGCTGGTGCTGCCCCAGGGCACTTACAGAAGCTGTAGTGGGAACTCCGGGCACCCCTAGGGGCTCCTCTGTCATTCAGGGCACAGAAGATGGGGGCAGTGACCAGGGAAAAAGGCATGTGGGGAGGGCAAATCGGCCCCTCTCTCCTCCTTGGGGACCGGGTCTGTGCACACGCGCACGTGGGGGTGTAAAGCTGACAGTCTGCATCTGCATGTGTGAGTGCGTGTGTTATGGCTCAATACACACCCATCTGCGTGCATGTGCCTGCGTGTTGGGGGTGGGGTGGGATTAGGGCCTCTAGATGAAGGCTAGGGCTTCTATGTGAGTCACAGAAGCAAGTTCAGTGGGCCTCTTTGTTCCAGGCTAGGGTCTTGGGTGTGTGTATATGCATGAGTATGTGCATTGTACAATCCTGCCTATGTCCGTCCAGATGACCCCAGGAGGTCTGTTCCCCAAGCTGACTCCTTCACCGAGGTCACATGCCACCACTGAACTGCTACCATGGGGCCGTGCCATCGGGCTGTGCAGAAACGGAGGGATGCAGAGAGACAGAGAGAAGAGGTGATGAGGACGAGATAAGGAGGTGGGAGAGGCAGCTGATGAAAGACAGACAGGCAGGCGAGATAAGGTCGGGAGAGTGACAGCGAGACGTGGGGGAGATAAGGCCTCCAGTAGCAGAGGGGGGAGGACGTGGGGGACCAGGAATGCCCGAGCCCTGGCCCTGCCGCCCAGCCTGCGCCCAGCAGTCCAAGGGTTAAAGTACCACACAAAGCCGGCTCAGGCAGTCTCCTCCTCCTGCCGCCCCCCATCCCTCCCAGCTTTTCTTTTTGTCCTTTTCTCAGAACAAAATAATTTGTGGTGAATTCGCTCCTTCCCACAGAGCAGTGGCGATGAGAGGGTGAGGCGCGAGACCCGGACGCAGGGCAGGGAGGATGGGGGCCCCAAGTGGGCACCAGGGCCAGGCTGCTCCCTGGGCTCCCTGGGTCATGCCTCAAGGTAGAGGCCCCCAGATGGGAGGTGGTGATGGAGACGAGGTCAAGCAGGGGCCTGAGCCTGGGGGGGGAGGGGTCACTGGGAAATGTGGGGAGCCTGGAGCCCAGTGCCCTCTGTCGGGGCAAACTGAAGCTCAGAAACAAGAAAGGACAGGTCAAGGCTATGTGACTCTGAGTGGCAAAGCCAGGTCCTCCATCCTCCCAGACCTCTCCTTCCCAGGTTTCAGGACTTTAAAGATTTATTTGTTTGTTTGGTTATTTATTTATTTATTTAGAGAGCATGAGCGGGAGGGGCAGAGGGAGAGAGAATCTCATTTGTGCGCTGAGTGCGGAGCCCTACATGGAGTTGATCTCACGACCCTCAGATCACAACCCAAGCTAAAACGAAGAGTCGATCGCTTAACCGACTGCGCCCCCCAGGTTTCAGGACTTTAAAAATACACCCTTTCCCAAGCATGGGCCGCTGGCCTGCACGGGTTGAGGCCCCATCTCAGCTACACTGGCTGAAGCCTCGGCCGAATGCACCCTTGGCCCACTTGCACCAGCAGGGGGCGCAGCTGCCTGGCTTCTCAGGGCAGGGGATGAAGTTCCCACACCTGACTCCCCTGTCAAGGTCATTCCCAGGTGTCCCAAACAGGGCTGTCCATAGCAGTGGCAGCCCCTGATCACAGCAGCCTCCTGACAACTCTCCTCCGGGAGCCCGGGAGTTCCTCCCCACTGGGTCCAGGTCCACTTGCAAACTGGCATGGTGACTGGGCCAGGGCTCAGGGGCCACAGAGGGAGTGGGTTTCCAGGTGGCAGGGTCATACCCCAGGGCTCTGAAAGGTGGCGTAAGGGCTTGAAAGCAGGCACCCTGCCAAGAGTCACCTCATCTCTGAACCTCAGTCTCTGGTGGATTAAACGAGAGAACAGCAGTCCCCACTTTGCAGGCTGAGGGAGAACTGCAAAGAGCCCACGCTATTCTTGCCACTGCTATTGTTGAGGATCACCAGAATTCTGTAGAAGGAATCACAGTCCCTCCCCGCCTCCACTCTCCCTGCTGGATCTGCACACTAAGGATCCGAAGCCATTGGCTCCTACTCCTGGGCAGACAGCTTTGGTCGTCTGGGGTTGGCCCACCTCCAGCCCCATCCTCCTCCCAGGCCTCCCAGGGCAGCCCCTCTCCAGCCACACTGTCCTTGTCTCCAACACCTCAGCCTGAGCCCTGGAGGCTACAACAGGGGGAACCAGACACAGGGATGCCACTGAAAACAGTATGGCCAAGGCCAGCTCTCTTCCCACTCGCCCGAAGTATGGGGCCCTTGTGTAATGGACCCTTGGCAAATGCACAGGCCCAATTCCATGTTCAAGAGCAGAGCTCTGGGACCAGCTAGACCTCGGTCTGACTCTTGTATTCCTGCTTGCAGCTGTGCTACCCCTTGGAGTCTGGGGCTCTATCTGCCACACTTTCTTCCTGTCCTAAGGACCTCTAAGATACCCCTCTGCTCGGCCCTGGTGCCAGCATTTGAGATCTCTCCAGCCCATTGACCTGGCATGCCCCTGCAGACTTCTGGGTCCCCAGCCCATCCTGATGCCCACTACCGCACTTTTGCTCATGCTGTCCCTGCTTCCCTTCCACCCTTCCCTGATTTTCTAAATCCTTCCTAGAGCAAAGAAAGTAAAATGGGCTAGAAGGTGTTTCTGGGGAGATGAGGGCTAAATCCCAGGACTGCAGGAGCTGGTCAAGCTACCAGCCAAGCCTGTCCCCCAATCCCAAAAGAGCCCCTGAGACAAAATAGCCCTCGTTCCTTCTATCCCGAGTGCCTCATCCCTCTCAACATTCCCTTGGACCTGTTCCAACGGCCCCTGTCCCCCCGGGGTGGGCCATGAGCTGGGCCCTGTGTCCCAGGGAGATCTGAGGGGTAGAATTCAGCAGATGGTCCCGCCCTGGGAGATAGGTCATCTCTCCATTGATGTTGTCTGAGGAGGTGCTTTCTACCTATAGGCCCAGCAGGAAGCCTGGGAGAGCCCAGGGCAGACAGCATGCCCAGGGCTGGCTCTCCTAAAGCCCCAGCCTCTAGCTCTGGTCCCTGGGGCCAGCTCGGATGCGACGGACAGGCTGGGGGTACACCGGGTCCAGGGGCATGGGCACTGGGTACACTCAGCCACCGCAGCAGGACTGCACGCCCGCTGCTGTCCTTGGCCCAGCAAGCTCACTGGAAAAACCCAACAGCTCCCACAGGAGCGCAGCCTCTGAGGCCCCCACCACTGCACAGGGAGCTGGTCTACAGGTTGTGGCAGTTGGACACCAGCCGTGATGGGGGAGGGGGAGGCAGGGGCTCCATTCCACAGAGATGGTGAATAGTAGGGGGACAGGCCAGCAGACTAGCAGACAAGCTGGCTGGAGCCAGGGGAGCATGTAGGGGAGGGGTGGGGTGGGGAAACAGGGAGAACGGGGGTGGCTGAGACCCCAAGGGACAGTAATTCAGGAGGCAACTTGCAGCCCATCGTTCCCAGGAGTCCCTGGCTCCCCTCTCTTGTACCAGATACCTATGGCCTCCTCCCCATGAGGGCACCTCCCCCATCAGTTATGGAGAACTGTCCCTCCATCTCTCCCCTCATCTCCTCACCTCCCTCCCTGTTCCCCCCACCACCACCAGGTGCTGGCCCCAACCCCAACCCTAACCCTCTCTCAGCTCTAGTGATTCTTTAGTTAAGCAACATTTCCAGCCAGCCTTTCGGCCTAAGGATTTCCAGGGCTTGTGGAGGCCCCAGAACCTCTGCCCAGCCCCCCTGCGTCCCTGGGTGGCTCCACATAAAGAGGAGGTGAACCTAGAGGACACGTGGAAGAACGGCGACCTTGGACAGGAAACACAGGGATATACACGGGGGTGGATGGAGCCAGCCTCATCCCCACAGCTCCCAAGAGTCCTGACTAGGAGTGGGGTCGAGTTCTGAGGTACCTGGGAACAAAGACAGCCACCACAGGAGACAACAGGCCCCAGGACCAGTGACCTGGACAGCACCCCGTCAGACTGGAGAGGCATGTTGCCAAGTCCCAGAAAGCCGGCGGCAGTGGGGCCTAGCTCTGAGCCAGCACCCAACCTGCCCAGGGAGAGGAGGAAGGTGTGGGAAAAGGAGAGGAAAAGGAAGGCGAGGAGGGGAAGCAGAGGAGGGCAAAGTCAGGAAGAGGGAGAATGGAGGCCCCAGGAACAACTGTGTTCCCCGAGAGCTGGCTCTGGCCACCCTGGGGCAGATGTTTTCACACTTGACCTCACTGATCCTGGACAACCCGAAGAGGGACTCTTCATGCCCATTTACTGGACAGGCCACTGAAGGCCGGAGAGCTGAAGTTACACAGCAGAGCTCAGATTCAAACCGGATCTGTCTGACCCAAAGCCCTTGCTTCAGGTCCCACTCTGTGCAGTCGGGTTCCCCACACTTATTCCCATACTTGAAGGTGAAGGGAGCACAAGGGATCAGCTGGGGGTCTTGGGGG